AGAGCCGCTCGTGGGGGCAACTGGTGGCCTCGGTGGGGGTGACTAAAACCTCATGGGAAGGGGGGCGTTTCGCTCCGCCCTTCACGCCCTACCGAGGCCACCGGTTGCCCCCCGCGGGCGGCTCTCCAGCACGGCCACGACTCCAGAACACAGAAACCAATTTCTTAACTATCTGACTTTCAGTAGAAATACTTCCAGGGTCAATAGGTAAAATAGCAGAAATCCAAAACCAATATTTAATTCTTGAACCCAGCTGTAGAAAGCAAATCACTTCACAATGCTTTTTCAGCATGTCTGATTTTGGGGGGGGGGGGGTAAACTCTAAATAATAGTGGTGAATCTTATTGAAACAATGAATCTAATCAAAGCAGATAGAGTGTTAACTAGAATTCATCTGCCTCACAGGGACGGGGAGGGGTGGGGGGTGGGGTTTTATTGGGGTTCTTCAGGGTAAAAAATAAGTATTGGTAAAGGGAAATGTGTTTGATATTTGCATGACTGAGACATAAACCTGAAAGCTTTGTAACCTTTCCCACAGTGATTCAATAAATAAATTAAAAAAAAAACTAATGAAAGACACGTGGGCCAGAAGGACAGTGGCGTGTGAAGAGCGCTTCTCTCGCACACGGCTGGCCTGGGTGCAGTCCCAGGCACCCCAAACGATCCCCTGGGCTCACCAGGAATGATCCCTGCACTCTGAGCCAGGAGTATACCTGGCTGGATGTGAACTAAAAGCAAAAACAAAGCCAAAAAGTAATTCATTTAAGAAATATATAACAGGACAGGAAAGACAGCATAAGGGGCCGAACATGTGGCTGACCCCAGCACCCCAAAACACCATGAGATACAGGCTTAAAGTCCCCTCAAGCACCACCAGGGTGCTCTGGAGACGCAAAATTAATTTGAGGGACGCTGAGTGATAACTTGAGCCACATCCAGCTGTGCTCAGGGCTTATTCCTGGTTCTGTGCTTAGGTTTCACTGCTAGAGGTGCCAGGGTTGAACCTCGGTTGAGTTGCATGCAAGGCAATTACTCTACTCCCTGTACTATCACCTGGTCCCATGAATTAATTTTTTCAAAATGTAAATATCTAGGGGCCAAAATCTCATTATAAAGAAATAGGGCACTTATCTTGCACACAGCTGACCTGGGTTCGATCCCTGTCATCCCATATGATCCCCCAAACCCCTCCAGGAGTGATCCCTGAGCACATAGCCAGGAGTACGTCTTAGGCACTGCTGGGTGTGAGCAATAGCTCTGCCACCTCTCCCTCTCCCCCCTCCCCCACCACCAACACACACACATACCAGAAAAAAGGAAGTATCTTAGGTCTGGAGAGACAGTACAAGAGGTAAGGCACTAGTCCTGCAAACAGCCAACAGAGGTTTGATCTCCAGCACCACATATGGTCCCTCAATCCCCACCAGGAGTAATCCCTGGGCAGAGAGCCAAGAGTAAGCCCCGTGGACTGCTGGGTGTGGACCAGAAAATAATTTCTTAATTGAATTAGGGAAATATTGAAGCAGAGAGATAATACAGTGGGTAGGGCGTTTGCCTTGCACACAGCCAATCCAGGTTCGATCCCCAGTGCCCTATAAGGTCTCTGAGACCACACAGGAGTGATCCCTGAGTGAGAACCAGGTGTTACCCAACCCCCCCCCCCCCCAAAAAAAGAAGTACTTATGGTGGACTGTAAATTGGGAAAATCTCTTTAAATGTGTTAAATATATTTAAAATTTTGTAGATACGGTCAAATTGCTTTTTGAACGCATACAATCTATCCTAATACCCAGAAATTCCTTTTTTTAGTTTTTGGCATCTAAAAGATTTATACAGCCCTTCGACCTGCTGCTCTGCCAGCCCGGGTGAGGCTGCCTCTGTCTGACATCCTGGGCTGCTCCAGCGCAGAGCAGAAGCCCTGCATTCTCATTAGCTCCCAGCAGTCTCCACACTCGACTGAGACATGTAAACGGTCCCGCACCACAGCCCCGAAGCATGACAGATCTACTCAGTGATTCTTCCTGCCTTCCTTGGGTGAAGACAGGCAGAGAGGAAGGAGAGTGACCTCAGCTTAATCCCTCAGCATCTTCCTTTTGCTGCTGCTGCTGTTTGGGGGCCACACCCAGCAATGCTCAGGGATCACTCCTGGCGGTTGCTTTGGGGACCATATGGGATGCCGGGGATTGAACCTGGGACGGCTGTGTGCAAGGCGAGCGCCTGAGCCCCTGTACTATTCCTCCAGCCTGTCCCTCAGCATCTTCCGGGGGTTTAACTACAAAGTCTCACCACGAACGCAGCAAGAACATGAGAAAACCAATGGAGAAAACATGGAGAAGCCCACCAAGCTTAATGAGTGAGCGCATTATCACTGGCGATAGGAGGATTTATCACTAGTAAATCCTCGGGCAATGTCTTTAGAGATACCATGATGAGGATGATCAATGAGCTCAAAGAAGTCAGATAGTCAGCAAGGCACACAAAAGTGTAAGAGTAGAAATGAAAAAAACTACTACATTCAGAAATGACAGAAATAAAAAAATGTGGTAGGTGGTAGGTGATTAAAAAAAAAAAAAGTCAAGAGAAGCTCTGAATATCAGAACAACTGAAGTTGAGCAAAAGATCAAGGAGCCTCAAGATAGGAAGCAGGAAGCCAGTAGGAAACAGCAAAAGGTGGAAACTATTCTGTAAAGAAATGAAAACAGGGGCCGGAGTGATAGCACAGCCGGCTGGGCTTTTGCCTTGGTTCAATTCCCAGTATCCCACATGGTCCCCAGAGCACCACCAGGAGTGCTTCCTGAGTGCAGAGCCAGGAGTAACCCCTGAGCATCCCAGAGTGTGACCCAAAAAAGCCAAAAAAAAAAAAAAACAAAAAACAAAAAAACCACAAAACAAAAAACATTCAAATTTAAAGGGACAATTAAGTGCTTGACAGACAGGCAATAGCTAAGGGAATTCATAGCCCTGAAACCAGTTTTGCAAGAAGTGTTAAGAATTTCTCAAAAGGACAGGACAAACTACCCAGCATGCGGCACTGAGTATACATATGGTTGCCCTCTACGACAGTAAGAAAGGATATTTACTCCTAGCTTGCTAAGGGATATTCAATAGTGAATTAATGTCTTATTTATATGGGTTAAAATCATTTTCAGTAACGAATTAATGTCTTATTTATATTGGTTAAAATCACGTAGCAATCAATCATCACAAATTGACTTTTATTGATTTATTTTCTGATAGTTCCTTTTGCCATTCCTTTCAGTTTTGTTAGAGCAATCAAGAAGAAATAAATTTGTTATATGCCTCCCAAGGGGTCAGGCACGGGGCCGGGAGGGAATCTGGAGACAGTGGTGGAGGGAAAGGGTCACAATTGCTGACCCTGGTGTTGGAACATTATATGTCTGAAACAACTCTATTTTCAGCAACTCTGTAAATCACAGTATCTCGATTAAAACTAAAAGAAAAACAAAAAAAAAATGAGACATATCCATCTAAGTATAAAAAGTTCTATTTAAAAGAATACATGTTGTGTTGAAAAAAAAAATTTTTTAGTTATTATATGTTTTATTAGGTGCCATTATCAAGTTAAGGAAGTTCTCATTCTTTGTGGTTTTAGACTTGTTTTAGCTTGTATGTAAATTATGACTGCATATTAAATTTATGAAATGAAACTTGGAAAAATAAGTAAATAAAAATATACATATTGTAACATTAGAATTTAAGCATCAATAAGTAAATTTTTGCATTCATCTGGGGAACATAAAGTAACAAAATAAGAGACTAACACCCAAGAATGGCCAAGATTAGTACGAGGAATTTTACTCCATGGCTTGGAGGCCAACCACACATGCTAGGGGCAAAGGGAGCTCAGATAGAGAAGGGAGCCCAAATAAAGGGTGTTGGGAGGATCCTCTCAGGATGGGAGACGCATGCTGAAAGTAGTCTTTAGACCAAACATGATTGTTACCCATTGTCTCTTTTGCAAACCACAACACCCAATAAGAGAGAGAGAACAAAAGGGAATGCCCTGTCACAGAGGCAGGGTGGGATGGGGGGGATGGGGGGCGGGAGGGATACTGGGATCAGTGGTGGTGGGGAAATGGGCACTGGTAGAGGGATGGGTATTTGATCATTGTATAATTGAAACCCAAGCACAAAAATTTGTAAGTCTACAACTGTACCTCACGGTGTCTCACTAATAAAAATATAAAAAAAAAATAAGTAAATTTTGGCATATACATACAATGGACTATCAAAGCACTCATTTTAAATAGCAGAAAATTTTTGTGATTTATTTGGGGAAATGTCCAATATATATTATTAAGCAATCAAAACAAGTTTCAGGAAAAAATTAGCATTTCATTCTAACTTTTGCACCTCTGAAAATATGTAAGCATAAAAAAGCCTGTAAATACATATAAACAACTCATAACAATGATCACCTCAGGAGGGGAGAAGAAATTTTGCCAGGAAACAAGGGCTAGAGAAGACTTTTTAAATCTTTCATTTAATGTTTAGCATTATTTAAATTCATTATAACAAATACATGAACATTTTAATTTTAGTAAAAATTAAAAAGCCCCTAAGTGTAACACTCGAGTTCTTCATTTAACCAATCTACACATTTTGGAAGTACTTTGCTACCTTATGGTCAGGACAGATTATTCTCTTGGAATTTGTAAGGGAAAATAAGCAACAAACACCTATAAATGGCAAATTATTTGCCAGATTTGGCATCCATTTATTTCAATTAGCATAAATCAAATCTGAAATGTTCAAGATTGGTAACCTATACCAGGACCGTTAAACGAGTGTTTTTCACCCATTTCTTTCATCCATGGCCTGTTTCCTTCTTGTGGTTCCCCGGGCTTCTAGTCTCATGCCACAGCCTCCCGCTTTCATCAATTTCACCTATGGGTTCCCCTGGAATATCCTGAGTTTCCCCCTCTCTGTCGAAACACAGCTACAAACCACAACAAAGGTCAACACAATCGAAGCCTCACCTGTACGATATCCAAAACCATGCCGGCTGAAACGGTCCCGAAGCCAGCGAGCAGAAAGGGCACAAGGATCTGCAAGGCCATGACACCACTGGATTCCTTGGGTAACTTTGGGTTGGTTTCCACGATGACATCGTCGTCACCGTCGCTGGAGAGGTCGTTGTCCTGCAGCATGGCGGTGGTTTCTGAGGTCTCCCGGTCATCGCAGTAATTGTAGTTGGCATAGTCGTCGTACTTGGGGCTACAGCTGCTGGGCGTGTGCCCAGGATTGCCGTGGAAGGCCTGCTCGGAGAAGCCGTGGTAGTCCACGTGTTGCTCGGACCTGTTAGTGAACGTCTGGGCTGCCGTGGACAATCCATCTTGCCAAACACCATTTGCTTTTTTGTGCCTATCTTCCGGGTTTTTCTGGTAAATTACTGGAACCATGCTCAACAATAAGTTTAAAAACTTATCAGACTGAATGGTATTTAAACGTATAGTCCAGTCCACAAAACTGTCGCCACTACTTGAACCACCACTTGTTTTATTAGTAATAGATCTTCCTTTACTATTAGTCATATTGTCATCGCAAAAGATGGGGGGCTGCTGAGATCTCAAGCTTCAAGTGACAAAACAGAGGAACCGGAGCTATACCAACATGGGGTTGTGCTAAGATGCTGACTTCATTGTATAGGAAATGTTTCCACAAATAAAAGATGTTTAGAGGGTCCACAGAGGAATTATATCTAGAAAGGAAAAAATAATAATTTTTGTTAGAAAGCAGGTCAACTACCTCGAAATTTCAGTCTTTCATAATTAAAAAGGTATAAAATTCCCACGTGTATAAGCCAACCCAAGGATACAGACACTAAAATTTGTGGGCTTAACACCTACTTTATACCCCACAACTGTTTTTTCACCCCAAAATACATGGCTGGCTCTAGTGCTCAATCATGCGTTAAGTGCTTCTTGACTTTGCAAAATCTGTGTGATTAATAACTATGTGATGTCGGCGGTCTCTGAAGTCTGGAGAAGAAACATATTAAATAAAGGTGATGGCTCCTATTATTCTAGGGAGGTCTCAGAGTCAAGTTGCTTCCATCCTTTACCTAAGTCAGTACACAATAAAAGGTGCAGCGTGTGGCATTGTATTTCCTGCATATTAAGTTTTAAGTCAGTTTACTTTATTTACAGTTTAATAGAGTATATATTTTATTAAAATATGGAAAGAGAAAGGTCATTTTACTGCAACATCACTGCAAATATTCTGAATACAGGGCATTTATTTCACATAAAAAACTGGGCTGGTGCCTCAAAAACTGGGGGAAAAGGCAGTTGAGTGAGAGAAGAAAGCACTATGACAATGATAGTTGGAAATGATCACTGTGAATAAGAACTGCATGCTGAAAGTAGGTAAAGGAACAATTACGATAACCTCTCAGTTCCTGTATTGCAAACCATAATATGCAAAAAGAGAGAGAGAAAGAGAGAATAAAAGTGTCATAGAGGCAGGCTTGGGAGGGTGAGGGGCGGGGGGCAGGAGGGAAACTTGGAGTTGATAATGGGAAATGTACACTGGTGGAAGGACGAGTGTTGGAACATGACTGAAACCCAATCATGAACTGTTTCGTAACTGTGTTCTCACAGTGATTCAATAAAAAAAAATTAGAATTTTTAAATTATATAATTAAAAGAAAAAAAAAACCCAAGGTTGGAGGGACCATTATAACCTGACCCCCCCCACACACACACACACACAAAATCACTGTGACTGGTTTACAGAAAATAACCTAAACGTTAAGCTGGAAATAAGCAGAATGTAAAGGAAATACAAATATTCACGGAATCAACTTTGCACACCAGTCAAAAACAAGCATCTGACACACTGATGAAGCCTTGGCCGCTCAGCATGGCCTCTGCCCCAGAGCAGAGCCCTGGCTGGCCAGCCAGTCACCCCTTTCCCTATAAAGACACTGAAAACAGGGCTGGATATGAGGCTTAGTGGCAGCCTGCAGGTCTTGTTCCTAGGCAGCCCTGGGCTTAAGGACCAGTATGGCAAAAAAAAAAAAAAATAGAAGAAATAAATACATTCAACCAAGCGGCACAGACACCTACAGTGGCTGCTCTGATTGGGGACCTAATGCTAAAAGGTCATACAACACCCGCCCAGAGAGAAGACCGCCTGATGTGGACAGTGGCTGAGCACCCAGAGTTGTCTGTCCCCATCAGGGCCTCAAGTTTCCATCTGTGTTTCACATCTAAGAGCATCAGCATCAAGAAGCTGGTACTGAAGGAGGTTCACTCCATGGCTTGGAGGCCAGCCGCACATGCTAGGGGAAAAGGCAGTCCAGATAAAGAAGGGAGCACCAAGTAAAGGGTATTGGGAGAATCCTCCCAGGATGGGAGATGCATGCTGAAAGTAGACTATAGACCGAACATGATTGCCATTCAATGCCTCTTTTGCAAGCCACAGCACCCAAAAGGAGAGAGAGAACAAAAAGGAATGCCCTGCCCTGCCACAGAGGCAGGGTGTAATGGGAGGGGATGGGGGGTGGGAGGGATACTGGGATCATTGGTGGTGGAGAATGGGCACTGGTGGAGGGATGGGTCCTCGATCATTTTATAACTGAAACCCAAGCACAAAAATTTGTAAGTCTACAACTGTACCTCATGGTGTTTCACTAATAAAAAATTTAAAAAAAAAAGAAGTTGGTACTGAGTGGACGAAGGGGAGAGGGTCCCACCATCTACCTGGATTTTGCCTCCCCACCATGTAAGATGGACCTGTCACTGCCATTCTGCTGCTTTGAATGAACTTGATTACATCCGTGGGTGGCCATGCCCCCACTACCCATAGCTCCACCTTGGACAGGAAGATGGACAGCAGCGACCGGCCCAGGGAGAGGGAAGAAAGGACTTTTTAGGGGATGACTTGACCCTGTGGCCAGTCCACTGATTTCCCCTTTCACTCATGTTCTTCCCTTTTGCAATTGCAAAGGAGTCTCAGAGTGTCTACTGGGGAACCTTAAAAACACAGGCTCGGGAGTGGGGGGGATTGGACAGGGGGAAAGATGCTTGCCTTGGATGCAGCCAGCCTGAGTTGAATCACCGGCATCCCAAATGATGCCCCGAAACCCACCAGGAGTGATCCCTGAGCAAAGAACCAGGAGTAGGCCCTGAGCACCACCAGGTGTGTCCCCAAAACTGAACAAAACAAAGAACCACACACAGACACACAGACACACAGATCACAGAGGCCACTGAGACAGTGCACAGGGGTAAAACCGCATGTCTCGTACACACCTATTCCCAGTTCAATCCCCACCATCACAGATCCCCCAAGGATCTCCAGGTTCAGCCCTGGAATGGCCCCCAGTTCCCCTGGGAACCACTTTGGGACCCAAACAAACAAAATAATACACTCTTCATTCCCACACTGACCAACCCAGAGTATAGTTTGATGCACATAAACTTTTTTTCTTTTTCTCTTTTTCTAGCCAATCAGGGCATTCAAGCCCAATACAACAGGATCCTCCGTGAGCTGTATTGCGGATTCACTACCAGGATCTCACCATTCTACAAAGAAGTGATCGCTGCTGTCAAGAGAGGGGTGCGGCAGGGTGATACCATTTCACCGAAACTCTTCAGTGCCACCCTCGAGAACATCATGCGACGACTGGAATGGGAAGGAATGGGAATGAAGATAGATGGTCGGCAACTACACCACCTCTGCTTTGCTGATGACATTGTTTTAATAACACCAAACATCAGCCAAGCAGCACAAATGCTGGCCGACTTTGACCGTGAGTGTGGAAAGGTGGGACTACAGCTGAATCTTACGAAGACAATGTTTATGAGAAACAGCCTCGTTCCTGACGCCCCATTCGCTCTCAACGGAACAACCATCTCCAAATGCAACAGCTATGTGTACCTAGGTCGAGAGGTCAACATGACAAATGACCTGGCACCCGAGCTGCGCAGGAGGAAGAGAGCGGCTTGGAACGCCTTCAAGAACGTCGAAGAAATAGCTAAGAAGACGAAGAACCTCCGGCTCTGGGCACATCTCTTTGATTCCACTGTTCTTCCTGCATTAACATATGCCTCAGAGACCTGGGCCCTACGCAAACAGGATGAGAACGCTATTCAGGTCTCCCAAAGAAGAATAGAAAGAGCTATGCTTGGAATATCACGTTTCACTCAAATGAAAGAAAGAATCCGGAGTTCTGACATCCGTCGACGATCAAGAATCAGGGACGCTGTCTCATTTGCCAAGGTATCAAAAATCAGATGGGCTGGTCACGTAATGAGATTTAAAGACGACCGCTGGACTAGAGCTGTTACTGACTGGATTCCACGGGATGTCAAAAGACCGCATGGCTGCCCACCTACCAGATGGTCAGACTTCTTCGTCAGGATCATGAATGATTGGTTTGAGGCTCTTCATGTTCCCAGAGCGAACAGATGCCATTGGGCTACACTAGCACGCGACAGGGACAAATGGAGATGTTACTGGCGCCCGCTCGAGCAAATCGACGACTAACGGGAAGTTAAGTGAGTGACTAAGTGACTCTTTTTCTTCCAATAAAGCTTCCCCAGTGATTCTGTTGCAAACATACTGTGAATCTGCACTGAGAACCGAATCCAACTCTTTGATTAACAGGTAGATGCTATTATCAAGGCTGATCAGCACCGAGAAAGTCAGTGTTCAAAGGATATCTGGGGAATGGAACCTGTGTCCAAACTGAAGTCAAGAAGAAATCAAACTGAAAGAGAGAAAAGACAGATAACCGGGTCACTTGCTACTCTGCCCTGCCTGTGAGGTCATCCTCCAGCTGAGATTCCTGGAAGCAGAGCCGCACCCTTCCAGCAAGGTGCTGCAGCCTCCACACCTGCCCCCTTCGCTTATTAACCAACCCACACCACAGCTCCTGAGGCAGGTGGCCGGGCGTGTGACAGAACTACTCAGCAAATTACAGCTCCCAGTTACATTTCTCATCATTTGGTGAAGACAGACAGAGAAGGAAAAGAGCAAACTGCAGCCTAATCTCTCGGAATAGTCCAGGGGTCAGCTACAGACTCACTCCCAGTCCAGCAGAGCGCCCACTAGAAAACCCATGGGCAAAAGACTAAAGACCCACCAAGCTTAATGAGCGAAAACATAACACAGAAGGCACAAACACCACCAACCAGCTCAGAAACTCCTCGGAAAATAATTCTAGTGACACTCTGGTGACAATGTTCAATGAGCGTCAAAGACATGCTGGCACAGGTAGTCAACGAAGCACAAAGAACTGAGAACTGAAATGAGAAAAAGACAGTGGGAATGAGTACGGTAGGTGATGTGGGAATAAAAAGTCATTAGAAGTGTGAGCAGTAGAAAAACAGTAGCTGAGGAGAAGCTCCAAGATGAGATGCAGGAAACCTCTAGAAAACAACAAAGGATGGGGAAAAGTCTGAAAAGTACACCAGAGAACTATGGGATGAGCTCAAGAGGAGCAATATAGGACTCATCAGAGTCCCTAAAGGTCAGGAAGGCAAATCTGATGAAGATCAAATAGTTGACAAAAATCACAGTTAAGAATTTCCCAGAGTTAAAGGGTGCTGTCCCTCCACCTGCTCCCCCTTGGTGGCTCGGTAGCCACCATCCACCAGAGGCCATTGGACAGTCGGGTTTGGGCCCACAGTGACAAGACACGCAAGGGGCCTCACAGGATTGGGGTGGAGCCGGCCCTTTCCTTCCCGTCCC